AGGAGGAGGAGGAGGACGAACAATGTAAATCCAAGAGTGATCAATGATATTACCCATCTTCAGAGCCCCTGAGGGAAGTGCCCCGTTGGAAGTCAAATGTTGGAAAACCGGAAAATCCGAAATTGTGCGAGACAACCATTCCTTGGATTTCAGCGCAGCGAGTCACCGTTACTGCTGCCTTGCGCCTTGGCTTTCCTTTATCGTGGCAAAACACAGTTTCTCGGACGCCAGCCGTTTCTTTCTTTGAAGCTGTGGTGAATTCTCGAGACGCATGTGCGCAGCGCTCAGGCGATAACCACGGTTTTTTTGTAAGGGAACCGCCCTCCACCCGTGAACCTATTGCATGCGTTTGAAGCGAACGCGCGCGGCGTTAAAGCGAGAACGACATTGTGAAAGCGGGCCCCCCTCGATCCGTTAGCCCGATCCAGATCTTTAGAACGAATACGCGCGGCACGAAGGCGATGGCCACAGTGTGAAAAAGGACTCGCCCTCCATCCGTGAATCTCTTGTGGTTCTTAGCGAATGTGCGAGGCGCGAAGGCGAGAGCACCATTTTGAAAGCAGGTCGCTCTCGACCCGTGATAGTGGTGCAAATTTCAAACTTCAGGATCATAATTGGTGAGGAAGTCTCTGGCGAAACGCCTAGCCCGCCCTCCACAGGTCTCGGGGTGCGACAGGGGGGAGTCATGCAGAAGGAGACGGACTGAGGGGAGTTGGACAGGAGGGAACGATGAGGAGCAGGGAAGAGGAAGGAGTGAGACGCGCAGGGCTTCGAATTCAAAACGAGGACCCAATTCACAGGAGGGTTCGGAAAAATGGCGGGCGAAGAAATATCCCAGACGGCCCCAGATGGCCCCCAGACTGTTCCAGTACAGCCCAGTATGGCCTCAAGGCGGCCCAAGAGGCCCCCAGGTCGCCCCACGACGGGTCCAAGAGAACCCCTCAGAGGGCCCCAAGAGGCAAACATCGTCCTACACATGTTGTGGGAAAGCGTGAGCTAGCATATTCGTTTTTTTGATTCGTGCAGCGTTGACGAAGGGCCAAGGGGCCCCAACGTATGCCCCAAGACGGCACACAAGGCTCCCACGACCCCAGACACATCCAAATGGCCCCACAGTTTGCCCAAGAGACGCCCAAGATGGCCCAGGAGTGCCCAAGTAGTGCTCCGAGAGAGGCCCCAGATGCCCCCAGAGGCCCTCGACGCGTGCCAAGAGGCTCCCCAAGAGGACCCATGGCGCTCGACAGAGCCCCAGCGAGGCTCCATACACCGCCAGCTGACCTGCAAGAGGCCGCCAACAGGCCCCCATTGAGGCCCCCACGGATTTCCTGGAGGCCCAGGATGCTTTTTACAGACTCTCGAGAGGACTCTCAAGAGATGCCCAAAGAGACCTCTCAGAGGCTACGTCTCTCGCATCAATAATTGTACGGCTTGCTCCCCTGTCCGACTGCCGAGCCCGAGTGCCCCGTGAGTCCGCTCTCATCCCCGTCCTCATCCTCCACGCTCCGCAGCCAGTGTTCTCAAGCCGAAGGCTTTCGTGAACGGCCAGTAGCGAATCACAAACCTACGCCGCCGCCCAAGATCACTGACAAACTCACCTAATCATAAGACTTGAGCCACTATATTATGCATGCAGCGTGTACCTCGAATCGAGTTTCTCTAGCAGCGCATGGTGTGCAATCTTTGTTGTGCAACCTATGGGGTGCACTTTGTTCTGACTCGCAGTGAGTTGCGAACCCCGCTACTCGCGCAATCATCCCTCCCAGCTGCCCGCAACTCGGCTTGCAAAATCTATGCGGCGGCGATTGCGATGAGTGCTTGGCGCTGGCTGGCCCATCGCTGCAGGCGCGCTAGCGCGCAGGCTCGCGCGCAGAGCGGCCAGCAAGTCTGGCGCGACCGACGCGGCCGCCATGCCGCTTACCGCTGGGGAATTCCTAGCGCAGAGCGCAGGCCGCGCTGACGCGCGGGCACTTCGGTGCGAGTCGGTGACTCGGACGGGCGCAGTATCATGGCGACTTCGACAACGGCAGAAACGATGATGCTAGTAGCGTTGTAAGGTGGGCCAGCGGGAACAGCGTTGAACAGAACAGCTTTCTGTATCAGCAAAATCTGGGGACGTGTCGTCATTTTTTGTGCCAGATGGGCACGACATCGTATACATCTTATTGGGAGGAAACATCAGTGTAATATGGAGAGTGATGTAATTATTATTGGGAAGGTCTAGCGGCCAGTGCCGCCGACCCTGAAGTGGGACGGCGACGACGGCGGCGGCGGCAGCGGCGACGACGACGACGCTGACGCTCTGGAGCCTTTCTTGGGGCTCTCTTGGGAACCTCTTGGGCTCTGTTGGGGCTTGGGCTGGGGCCGCGGCTGGGGCGAGGACCAGGGCCAGGGCTGGGGCCGGGGCCGAGGCCGAGGCTGGGGCCACGGCCAGGGCTGGGGCCGGGGGCTGGGGGCCAGGGCCGGTGCCGGGGCGCTGGGGCCGGGACCCGGGCGCCGGCCGTGTCCCGGGCCGGGGCCGTGGGACCGGGGGCCGGGGCCGGAGCGGGGGCGAGGAGTGCGCAGGGGGGGGGAAACGTAAGGATGCAGACCCTTCCCGGGGACCACCCGGGACCCCCGCCCCACCCTGGGGCGGGGAAGGGATCAAAGGGAAGGTGTTTCCCTTCGATTCCATTTCGATGTTGTTCAATGTTTCTATGGGCGGCGCGTGTGAGGAAGACGCCCCAGGCAAATGGAACAGATGAGGACGGAGACGACAATTCCAACGGAAAACACCACCAGTGCAATATTGGAAGTGATGTAATGATTTCTCGAGTGCATGAATAGCTAGTCTTTGTCGTTGAATCATGGTAAAGCGCATGTTTATTCATAAGCACTGTTGTGACCGACGGATCGTGAGCAGTATGTAAAATTCTAGCTGCTCGCAATCACAGAATCATTCAAAACCATGCGGAAACAGGGCTGGTTTCCATTACTGGTATCGAGGTAGTCTGTATTGAAGTTTATATGTATAGAATAAGAGAATAGTAACAATCTTCACAGTGTAGTAAACACGTCCATTGTTGTTCCATTAATGTGGTATCTACCCGAACATGTATGAATGTTGTATCAGCATGTCCTTACGGCCGGTGCCGCCGACCCTGAAGGTTTTGGCCGTCGATGGTTCGAATGTTGTCTCAGAGTGTATGTTCAAAGTGCATATATATATATTCCCCAAAAGAGTAGCATTTGAATTGTATATTGCTGACAGGATTTAACTAAATCTATGTTCTGACGTTCGTTAGTTAGTTGTTGAAATGTATACGATCAGCTGAAGTAGTGTCGTTGTTACAGTTATACATATCATAGAAAATTGCCAAATCTTATTACGTAGTGACAGAATGTTCTCCGGTACCAGAAAGACAGAAGAACCTTTGGTATGTGCTGTTCCAACTGGTTCAACTGGTAGGGTCCAAATTTGCGCGGGATTGCATGGCGTCATAACACAATCGTGCACGGGCATGTTTCTTGTATGTTTCAATGACAGATTTCCGGTTTCACGCAGTTGTCACATGACCAACCAATGTTTGTGGAAAAAAGATGTTATTCACCATGTAGTATACAGTCAGGGTTGGTTATATTTGAACGCCCCCCGGGTTGGTTGGGACTTGTGCGAATTTTGGTGCAGTACCTTGAACGCATACCAGTGATATTTGGTTTGGCATGTTTGGAAATTCGTCATGGAAGTATGAGAACTCGTTCGGTCGGATTTACGAAGGGTTTTCTGCTACGTTTATTTTCGAACTTTTGTTGTATAGGAGCACTGTTCGTGTTGTGCGGGCACGTTGTAATACAATGTTTGTCTTCTTGAGCAAAAACCCATTTGGACTCATAGTTTTTGACAGTTGCCACGGGCTCTTGCGAATTTCATTTTGAATGCAGTTGCTCACTTCCGAACTTGTTTAGGATTGTATCAATTCGCATGGGGATGTATACCGTCTTTGTTTCATTGGATGCTTGATCACGTTTCCGTGACAGTTCAAGCGCGGTTTGTTACCTAAACAGGAAACAGCGTATTGAGTTCGAATGGTGGATGGTCCCCGGTTGATCATTATTTTTCTATGTTGGGGGCCCTCTGGGGCCTTCCTGGGAAACTCTTGCGCCGTCTTGGGGCTCTCGTGTGCCGCGTTGGGGCGCTCTTGGCCGCATTGAGGGTATATGGGGGCTGTCGTCGGGCCTCCTGGGCCGTCGCAAGGCTGCCTCAGGCCGGTATGGGTCTCACGATAGGGCCTCTACGGCCGTTTCGGGAGTTGTGTGTGTGCGTCGTCGCCCCGAGAGCACGTAAAGGATTTTGACCTCGAGGGCGCGAACTTGTTTGCATTTCCCGGAGGGTTGTGGCATCGGGAGTGCGAAGCGGTTGCACTTTGCGAGGGATTGACGCTTCAAGAGAGAGGGCGATGTGCGCGGGGCAGCGAAGGGAGAGAGGGAATTACCAGTAGAAGAAGGCTTCAGACCCCCTGCCATCTAGCACGCACCAGCGTGCTAGAGGGCACGGTGGCGGACCGTTGGCGCTGTAGCCACCCACTATCAGCGTGGCTGGGGGGGTGGCGTCGCTTATCAGTCTCTCCCAATGGAAAACCAGACTGCCCCGCATTGAAAGCTCCTCGCGCTCCACCGTTGTGCGCCGTGCGGGCCCCACGCTGGCAGGCCGTGGAGGCGGAGATGTCTGGTGACACTTCGTTGAACTACATATCATTCGTCTGCTCATGCAGTTTTGGCATTCCTGTCTGTCTCCCCCTGAAGGATGCTGGGCAGGTTCGTGTTCTCGATGGGGCCCTCGCCCGAAGGGCGGGCACACAGAGAGCTGGTCTCTCGGGGGGGAAGGGGGGCTTCTGCGGAGGGAGGCTGGGACTTAGGACTTGTGCGGAGGGGACTTGCGCACTGCAGCATCTCTTGTGCAGCTTGCCTTTGCTCTGGATCTTCTCCTCCTCCTCCTCCTCCCCGCGGGCCCCAGCCCCCCGCAGGGGCGGGCGCGGAGACGATCGCCGGGGAGGAGACCGCCGGGGCGACGACCGTCGAGACGACCGGCGGGACGACCGGCGAGACCGGAAGGACGACCGGAAGGATGACCGCAAGGACGACCGGAAGGACGCTCGGAAGGACGACCGGCGGGACGACCGGAAGGATGACAAGCGGGACAGGCGCCGTGCGCGATGGCGGCTCAGTCGGAGGTTGCCTCGGTGGCCCCCCGGCGCCCAAGGTGCCGTCAGCTCTGGTCGCGGCGTTTTGGGGGCGGGGCCGCGTGGCCCTCGTCGGTCGCGTGCCTCTGGGAGCTTCGGGAGCCTCCGTGGCAATCCTGCTGGGGGCACCTTGGGCAGGACGGGGCACCTTGGGCACCCCCCGGATTCAGGGGCCGCGGCCCAGGCGGGGCTCGGTGGCGCGCAGGGGGAGGTGGCGCTGGGAGGGGTTTGGGGACTGGCCGACTCGGTCGCTCAGGGGGATCTCGGCCAGACATCGAGCGGTCGAGTCCCAAAAGTCTCCCTGGAAGCCTGGAGGGCCTCTGCAAAAGGCCCCCCCCCGGGCTCTGCTTTGAGAGGCCACCACCCTCGCGCCACCCCTCTGTGCCCAGGAGCGTGTTTCTTTCTTGCTTGGGGCAGAATGGGCATTATAGCCCCCGGCCCCCCCCCCTAATAACGTAACGCCCCCCCCCCCCCCCATACGCTCCGGGCACTGCCGCCGTGCGCACGGCGGGGGGGAGGCGTTACATTCCCCCCCCCTGGCCTCTCGCCCCCTCCTATAATGCTCATTATCGCCGAAAGTAAAGAAACGCGCTCCAGACATCCGGCGCCTCGATTCTGCCGAGGCTTGAGAGGAACGGCGCTCGGAGGAGGGCAAGGTACTGAAGCCGCTGCCTTTGCCTCGTCTTCGCCTTGCTGGGCCTCTGGGCCGGCCCTCGTCACCACCGCTGAATTCGCCTTGGACTTTTTGTGGGAACGCAGTCCAGGAGAGGTCCGGCGGGGAGTAGCGGTATCCGCACCTTTTGGCTTCCCCAGGCGCGGTGCATCGTATTTCATGGGCCCCGAAGTTGCATCCCGGGCTGTTTTTCGACGGTCCTGCGAGGCCCAGGAGGCCACCTCCCCCGCGGGAGGCGGGCCAAAAGTGGCGATGCGCCGGCCGCCCCAATGGGTTGCCCGAGGCGCCGGCATGCCTGGGCCAAGAGTGCGCCGCCGCCGAGGGGGTGCCGCGCGACTGGCGCGGCGGGACCCTGAGATCCGACGTCGCGAGAAGGTGCACCATCTCGAGGAAGAGAACAGCGTAAACGTAAATTGTCGGAGGTCCGCGCGGATTTCTTCGATCTGTGCTGGAACCTCCTGGCGGCGCCTCCTGCGCCGCCCCTGGCGCGCTCCGCGCGCCAGGGCAAAGGATTCAGCACGGCTCTGCGGGGAGCTTCGAACATTTGAATCTGTGTATGCAGTTTTCTTTCCTATTGTGGAAAATCACGACCGGAGCCCCAGACCCCATCTTTCTGTTGCATTTTCCGATCCGGATCGGCCTATGATGGTACCAGATCCGAGAGCGAACGGAAACGTTTGGTGTGTAAGCACCACCTGGATCTCAGGGGAGGTCCCCTCTGACTTCTGATCCGCCGTACTTTGGGCGATTTCGCAACTAGTGCGGAAATATCAGTCCCATTTTTCAAGCTTTTTTGGTGTCGGTTTCCACCCTTCTTTGTCGTTGCTTTGTCCGCCATACTCTTGCGGAGATACCAGTCCTTTTTTTGGAGGCGATGCTTTCCACACTATGTTTTCGCATCGTTTGAAATGAGCGTTCAACACCCTCAACACTTCAAGTAGCTAAATCCACCCAAATACGGCGGATCCCAAATCAGGGCCCACGCCTCCACGGGGGTCGCCCTTCGAGGCGGCACCGCTCAGGGGCAACGTTCCCGGATTTCCGTCGGCATGATTTCGTCGTCAATCCAGGTGTTGTCGACTTCGGCCCTCCAGGGCCTTTCCTGGAGCTTTGGGGCCATCAAGTACTGCCTCGAGGTGAGGAGATCAGATCGGCGGCTGCCTGGCTTAGGGGGGGATGGGCTCAGGAAGGGATGCATCGACCCCGTCTTGCCCACTGGCCACCGAATATGATGGGGCCCAGTGGCTCCCCCCGCCTGAGGAAAGCGCGGGGGTTATCCGCCCAGCGGGGGCCCCGTGCCGTCGACTCGAGCTCGGTGCTCCCGCCTGTCCCCCGAGGCGGTGCCCCCCCCCCCCCCCTGTGGCTCCCCCTCCGCCGCCGCGGGCCCGCCCCCCACAGGCTCAAGGGGGGCGGGCGTTTGGAGCAGGGGCCCCCGCCGCCAAGCTCGAGGGAGAGAGGCGGGAGGAGGAGGTTGGCTCTGCGGTGGTCGGCATCCTCGGCCCCGCCCCGCCTGGTGGCCCCCGCGTTCAGCGGGCGAAGAACGGTCAGCGTGAGGGGACCGAGCGGTTTCGTACTGCCCCAGGGTGCGTGGCTGAAGGGGGGGTGTCCGTGGCGCGGATTCTTGCTGTTGTTGTCGTCTTGCTGTCGTCATCCTCGCCCGCGAGCCACCCGCGACGCGCCCGCGACACACCCAACCGCGACCCAACCGCGACCCAACCTCGACTCACCCGCGACCCACCCGTGACCCAACCTCTGCGTTGACTATACATCGGCGCTTGCGGGGGGGTCGGTGTGTCAGATATGTGCATGACACCTGCCATCAAATTTGCACTCGAGGCTTGCAGACTGCCGGCCACCCCCCCCTCGCCCCCATCATTCTTATCCGCTACTGCGGGAGCTATGGTATAACATATGTAGCACTCCGCAGTTGCGGATAAGAGTGCGGGGGCGGGCGCGGGGTGGGACGCGGGTGGGTCGCGGGCGATTCGCGGGTGGGTCACGGGGTGGGTCGCGGGTGGGCTGCTCGCGGGTGGGTTGCGGGTGGGTCGAGCGTGGGTCGCGGGTGGGTTGCGGGCGGGTCGCGGGCGGGTCGCCGGGTCAATCGCGGGTAGGTCGCGGGTGGGTCGCGTGTAGATCACGAGGTGTGTCGCGGGCTGCGGGTGGGTCGCGGGTGGATCGCGGGTGGGTCGTTGGTGGGTCGCTGGTAGGTCGCGGGGTGGGTCGCGGGGTGGGTCGCGGGTGTGTCGCGGGCGGGTCGCGGGGTGAATTCCGGGTGGGTCGCGGGTGGGTCGCGGCTGGATCGCGCGCCGGGTCGCGGGCGGGACGACGACAACACACATCAAACAGCAAACAACGAAAGGTAATCAGCACCAACTATCACAACACTAACAGCAGCAACAGCAACACATACAGCACCATCAACGACATCAACAGCATCAACAACAGCACTATCATGAACATTCACAGTCACATTGCCATGAACACCAACAGCAGCAGCAATCATTCTAATCATGTTCGCTCTTGTGTGTTCGCGTGACAGACAATACGTATGTATCCCATACCCTCGGTACCCGCCCTCTTCGTCTTTGACCGTGCCCCCCTCTTCGGTGCATATCTTCCCCACCCGCCGCGTGTAGTTGGCGCACCTCCAAGACGGGGGGAGGAGTGGAGGAGTGGAGAGACAAGGGGGAGGGAGAAGGATAGAACAAGAGAGAACCTTGCAGGGGGACGGTCAGGAGCAGCAGCACAAGCGGCAGAACCAGCCTGGCGCGTCGGGCGGGCGGCCCCTCACGGGCGGTTCTGGCGGGCGGGCCCAGGAGGCCAGGTCGAGCAGGCGGGTCGCTACAGCGCCAGCCCATCACGAAGGGAGTTTCGAGCGACATCGCGATTCCCAAGTAAATCGCTAGGAAACCCACAGCAAGAGCGTGACGTGTGAGTGTGAGTCTTGAGGGCATGGCTCCACAATACATGGCGAGGAAGTGCTCTGCGAGAGCGCGATTTCTGGATCGGAGGCTTCGTAGAGGCCATCTCTTGCCAAAAGGGCCGGCCACCGGGCGCGCCGGCGGTTGTCCCGATGGTTGTGGTTGTCCCGATGGTTGTCCCGATGGTTGCCCCGATGGCTGATAGATAGATAGATAGATAGATAGACAGACAGATGTTGTTAGATGTTGTCGCGATGGTTGACCTAGTGGTTGATATGTGTATATATACAGATAGTTAGACAAACATATTGAAATTGCTCTCTCTCTATATATACATTTGCATATACATATATTTATGTATGTATATGCAAATGTATATATATATTTATATATTGGGAGATCTACAGAGATATATATAGATATAGGGATACATATACATAAACACATGTTTTGATCGACATATATGTGTACATATAGGTACGTAGATAGAGTCATAGAAGTATTTATAATTTTTGCTTGCATATGATATATATATACATACATACATACATACATACGTATGAAGAGATATATGTGTATTGATTGGTTGTTGGGATGATTGGTAGATGGATCGAGTGATCTATATATGTATATATATATGGTTGTCCGAAATCGATAATTCGACAGATAGGTCGATGGACAGATAGGCAGATGTGCGCGATACTCGCAAAGGTGAAGAAACCACCAAAGAACCCAGAGCCATCACAAATCTACTGCCTCCCCCTTCCCCCCCGACCTCCTTATCACCCGTAGGGTGGTCCTATCAGGAAATCTTCAGGAAATGCATTGTGACGATTCATCAGGCGGGAACCGCTGTTGTAAAGTGGGGGCCAGGGGCGCCGTTCTGTGACCGCGGATTTTCCTCTTTGTAGAAGTGAGGGTGCGAGCCCTGGGAATTGCACTTTGAACAAGTACAATGGCCCAACAGTTTCTCAAGAGTTTGGAATTCAACTGCATCAGCAACAATCACTTTAATAGTGTTCGCTCCTATCTGCTGTCTTGCCATTCGGCACGTGTGTTCCAAACCGTCGGTATCCGCCGCCTTCGTTTTCGATCGTACCCCTTGGGGTATATTTTCCGTACCGGCCACACGCATGGAGTGCAGCCCCTAAAACAAGGGAAGAGAGGACGGATGGAAAGGGGGAGGGAGAAGGATGGAACACGAGAGAGCTTACCAGGAGGGGAGTTCAGGAACAGGGAACTCGCGGCAGAACCAAACGTCCTGATCGGGCGGGCAGACCCTGGCGGGCGGGTCGGGAAGGCGGGCCCAGGAGGCCAGGTCGAGCAGGCGGGTTGCTGAAGCGTGAGTCCTGGATGAATCGGGAAGC